TTTTTTTTTTTTCCTCAAGAGGAACAACTGACAGGAAAAAAATTTGGTTCGTCTTGCCTTTTTGAGTTTGATGGCATTAGTAATGATGAATTGATGCAGGATAATTTACATAATTAGGGCTATATTTACATGAGAAGATTGTGTTTATCTGGTGTGCTGCGTATGTTTTAGCAAAATCTAGCAATAGATTCCGGCATGCTTCTTAACGACTAACCCCATCCTGCTTTTGAAGCATGTATTCAGACATGATAATGCTTTCTTGCTCTATAATTTTACGTCCTTTGTGATTAATATGCGACACTATTTTTCCTATTGATTGCATTTTCATGACGTGTGACCTCAACTTACGAAAACTATAGCTTGCGATGAGGAAGCCACCTGATGAAAACAATACTTGATTTGTGTTTTATTTATATCCAAATGCTCCCATGGAGTAATTTTTCTTGTTTGTATACAACTTCATGGGCTTTTTTTTATATATTTTTTTTTTTCTGATCGACAGATCGGATACCATCCTGATTTTGAGAGATCAAGGTGCTTATTCATAGTCCGTAAAGATGGAGAATTGGTCGATTTTTCGTACTTGAAATGCATAAAAGGCTTGATTAGAAAAAATTATCCTCGGTATGCCGACAACTTTATCCTGTGGCATTTTGGGAAGCATAGACATGGATGTAGGTAACAATTTGTGCCAAGGAATTTTTTTCTGTCTGTTGCTTAGTGCACTGTATTCACAAAGTCACAGCTTTAGTTGAAGCTGTATTGTATCGTTCCATTGTTAGGCATAAATTTGTTAGACTGCAAAAGAAAAATTTATGAAATTTATTGGTAACGAATGAAGTAGCAACACTCTGATTTTCATCCTTATCCTCCTTTATTATTTTATATTACTAGTAAGATGCTCATTCACATAAGGTGAATTATTAGAAGAGTAAGTAATAAAATTTATAGATATAAGTAAGAACCATAATTAAAAGCAGCTTTTTCCAAATTAGCTGTTTCATCCTAAAAGCCAATACAAACAGCTGTTTTACCAAACATTACATTTTAACTGTTCCATATAGTCAAATAGCTAATGCCTTAAAAAAGCTAAAAGCTGGGCAAAAAGTTGTTTAACGAACATAGCCTTAATCAATGTTGATACAAGAATAAAGAAAAGAATCGTATATATTATTGAACATTTCTTTAAATACAACATTCATGATATCCGGCGTCTTGTTACTATTTCATGCCCATAAACATGTTTGGTTCGAACAAGCGTGAAGAAATCGTGTTGGCCGGGGCTCCTTTTTAAATGGGGACACATTTGAAAAATTTAATGTTAATTGATAATATCATACTAAAAGATATAATTTTCAACTCTAAACACAACAAATTAATGGGCTAACTAAATATATGGAGAACCTTTGAAACAATCAAAAGGATTATATCAAGCTCAATCCATTATTTGAACCAAACCACGCTTAGTTTTATAATGTTTTTGTATCCAAATAAATCTAGTTTAGGAGAAAGTTTATCTCATATACTTATTGAGTTGTATTCTAATTTTGTTGTTTTTTTTTTTTTTTTAATCTAGCTTTTTCTAAACATGATGACCTAACAATTCATATGCCGTCATCCATTACTTACATCTTTGGAGTTGATATACATGGGAAATGCTTCGTTTCCGTCACAGAGTCATTCCGTCGTGATTTATAACCATTACATCAACTATATCTGACGGTTATATGATGTATGATGATCTAACATTTATAAATCCTGACGAAATGGTTCCGCAACGAACTATAGCATTTCCCTACATGATAAATTAAAAACATGTAAATTGTTGTTTCCACAAGTGCCTCCTTGCTATTGGATCCTAGCACTACCTCATTAATACGAAGACAAAAGACAAAGGTTCGGCCCACATCCGACCGTCGACTTGCCCTATACGTGTGCGGTCCAGATCCACCTACTTATCCTCGCCCGCACCTCATGGCCCAATAGTCGCACCAACCCCTCCCATCTCAATCCCGATTGGTCCACGATTCACGCGTCTGGGCCCCACCCCCACATTGTTTTTCAATAAAGAATTGCATACGCCCACGACCACACACATGGCAAGATCCCAATAAAAACATTTTCCCACTATTTTAATATTAATTTCTCTCTCTCTGTTTTTTTTTTTTAATTTTTTTTTTGGTAGTTCTGTTTCTAGGATGTTTGGTTTGTGTTTTTCTATCGTCTTTGTAATTATCTGCTACTATTATATAATTTTTTTATTATTTTTTTTTGCCCAAAAAACCCATTTTTGGACGGCTAGTCAATGTTTGAGAGCTTGGGCTTCTTGATTTCTTGGATATTTTCTTGAGCTGCTTGTTCTTGTTTTCACTTTCTTGTGAAAAAATCACGCTCTTGCCTTGATATTTCTTGTGGGTTTGTTTCTAAATCGTCTGTGTAGCTTGAATTTTGTTCTGGATTGCTGATCGAGAGCTCAGTTAATCTCTGTTCACTTGCTTTTATCGTACAGTTTACTCTGAGGTATATTTTGTTGTCTCACTGCTTAAAATCTGGGTAAAATCTGCTCAAAATTTGGTTTTTGGTATGTAATTTTGGATCTTTATGATATGGGGTTGGTTCCATTTTTTCTTCATTTCAATCCGATGTTACTTTGTTTTCCCACATGTACATTTGTGTCTTTGTCTGTACATGTATGAATCCTCACTTTCATGTGTACCTCAGATTCAATTTACAGATACCTTGATGCTTCTAGTGAAAGAAACTTGGTTCACTACTGATTTCAATTTATTGTGGCAATTTCGTATCACAGAACACAAAGAGAGGTCTGGATAGGATTTAGCTTTCTACTCGCCTAATCAGAGTTTTTTTATCAAGATGGGTAGTAGCAGTAATTTAAACTACAAGAATTTAGCGACCGGCATGCCGCCAAATGCCTCCGGTGGCGGCAGTGGCGGATGGCCTCCGGGCAGTTTCCCCCTCGCCCGACAGAACTCGATTTATTCTTTAACTTTCGATGAGTTCCAGAATACGGTCGGGAGTGTCGGGAAGGAATTTGGGTCTATGAACATGGATGAGCTTCTCAAGAACATATGGAGTGCTGAGGAAAATCAGATCCTCATCTCAACCAGCAATAATAGTAATAATAATAATAATAATAGTAACAAGGGTGGTGGTTTTCAGGAGGGGAGTGGATATAATCCCCTGAGGCAAGGGTCGTTAACCCTTCCCCGCACCCTCAGCCAAAAGACGGTCGATGAGGTCTGGCAGGACATGGTGAAGGAGTACGAAAAGGATCCCTCGGGTGGGCCGATGGGCGGGTATGGTGTGGCACCGGCCCATAGGCAGCCCACACTGGGCGAGGTCACATTGGAGGAGTTCTTGGTGAGGGCCGGGGTCGTGAAGGAGGAGCCTCCGAAGCCTAAAACCCCTTTTGGAGACCCATCAAGGCCTGCAAATATTCCCAGGCCCGGCTTCGGTTATCCATCGGGAGCTGGAGCTGCAGGTCTTGTCAGTGATGGGGCAGCAGAGAATATTAGTAACCTGATGGGAGCACAATTGGATAATTTGCCGTTGGGTGCGAGTGGGGCACGATCCACCGTGAAACAGCCCACCTCCCGGCCCGTGCACCCGCAGCCACAGACACAGCTGCCAGAGATTATTCCAAAACAGGCTGTGCCAAGATATAATCAATTGATCAGTAATAATCCCGGGATTAGAGGTGGAATTATGGGAATGCAGGAAAATGGTGCAAGTGATGCTTTGATTCAGAATGCGGGTTTACAGGGTTTGGTGGGTAATGGGGTTCGGGTGGTGTCGCCAGCTGTCTCGCCGGAAGGGGTGACGAGGAGTAATGGAGAGATGTCGTCAGTTTCACCAGTGCCTTACGTGTTTAATGGTGGTGGTGTGGGTTTGAGGGGTAGAAAAACAGCCGCCTTGGAGAAAGTTGTGGAGAGAAGGCAGAGGAGGATGATCAAGAATCGGGAGTCGGCTGCTAGATCACGTGCTCGTAAGCAGGTAAATCGGAATATGAGAAAATTGTTTTGGTTGACCCGTTAGCTTGGTTAGTTATATTATTAAAAGAAAAGGATAGCATTTTAAGTGTTTGTTCTTGGTGTTGTAATTGATGTTTGATTGGAAGAGAAGAAACTGCAGTCTGTTTAGGTTGCTTGATTCAGTTCATTAAAGTGTACAAAATGAACATCAAGTTTGCTAGAAAGTGTACAATGAAAACAAATGGGAATGTGTTAAAAAACACTTTCTGCAAAATGACTCACAGAAAATATTGCAAATTCATCGATAAACGAATTGTGTCATCGCAAAAACACACGCAAAGCACACACATGGAGAGGATAGAGAGATTCATAATGTGAAGTATATGATAAATGAGCACTTTTGGCGAGGTATACGAAGGATGTTATTTAAGAAACAATTGATTGATCGGTCGTACACTATTTATGGATTGATGAAACAAAATGTTACCTTTCACCAACCAATTACGATTTTGGGAAATTTTCAGGCATACACTACAGAGTTGGAAGCCGAAGTTGCAAAACTGAAGGAGGAAAATGAGCTATTACAAAAGAAACGGGTGAGTCTAATCAACTCTGCCTTCTAAATATCTTTGTGGCTTACTAGTTCTAGGTTTTTTGTTTATGTTAATATGGCACTTATTCGACTTTCCATGTGCTCTGTAGGCTGAAATGTTGGAAATGCAGAAGAATCAGGTATCTATTTATTTGTTTGCTGCTATGACTTATATCCTTTGAGAACCTTGAAATTGATTTTAGCATTTTACTGCCTTGGTTTGATGCATGCTCGGCATTCTACGATAGCAAAGCTTATCGACTGGGCTTTTACCTTTACCAGTGTATCTGATACAATGACTAAGTTCGTTTTCTTTTCAGCAACTTCTTGTTTGCTAGTAGCCTGATTACGAAGATAAGAAAAAGAAAAAAAAAAGGAAAAGATTAGAAAGAAAACAGAAAAAATAAAAGACTAAGAATTAAGAATACTTGGTCTAAAATTGTCATGGTTTATTGGTTTTCCTAAAAATGCATGTTATTTTTCTCATATAGTCCACATTTTGATGTTTGTTGGCAGGTTTTGGAGATGCTGAAGCTGCAACACAGTAACAAAAGGCGATGCTTGAGAAGGACACAGACGGGTCCATGGTAAAAAAAATAAAAAAAAAACTGGTGTCTCAAAGCCATAAATGTCAAATGGCTAGGACTCATTTTTTCGTCATTGTAGATGAATAGAATATTTAGATGATTAGTGCATTTGTGTACGATTTCAGTCATCCATGATCTTCTTTTCAACCTGCTTTTCTGCCCGATAGAAGATGTAGCTAACTAACAATGCTATATAATCTCTTTGAAGTCATCTCTGAGAGCTCTTGTGTGAGCTTCATAAGTAGTATCTTGAAATTACAGTATATTTGGTATCGGTTTAGTACAGAAGGCTTGTAAAAAATGCTAACTTGTTCAGTCAGCATTGCACGAATAAAGTATTTTTCTGATTTTTTTTTATTTTTATTTTTATTTTTTTTTATGATTTTCACGAGAGTATTGAAATAAAGTAGAAAAATACTTGTAGATGTAATGCTACTCGTGTCGGGGAATGATGTTTTGCTTGTGGGAATTCCCATTTCGGCAAATGATGTGTTTGTATGTGTTGTTGAGTCGTTCGTACCCATCGACGGTTTTCAAAGCATACTTCTTGGTATTGGCTAGACAATAGGTGCAAATATATATAAAATGTTTGTCACCTTTTCTACATTGTGGCACCTTCATGAAATATCGTGTGAATATATTGCATTTCATCCCTTGGCCACCCCATCCTTCGCCGACGGCGGTAGCCGTCCAAGTCCATTGACGTTGAGGTTGTTGACCTCCTCCACCTTGAGTAGGATCGAAATCGTCTCCACACGGCGTCTCTTGGTTCTCCCCATTCTCCTCGAACTGTAAGCTCTCTTGGATTTTCTCAATAGAGTGAAAGATGCGTTAGACCGTCTCGGGCTCAACGTCATCGAGACGACCCAAAAAGTCTCAGTATACAGTTTGTCTCGACGTCGCAATGAAGATGGACTTGAAGAAGATTAACTTATATTTTTACGCTTTTTGTGGCGGCTGATCACCGGCACGACCACCATGACCACCACTACGAGAACTCGGCATTTTATAACTCGAATATATTTTATAAAATAAAAGAGAGAGATGAAAATTATAGAATTATAAATGAGAGGGTATTGTGTACAAAATATATAGATTCGAAACCGAAATGAGAGTGAATATATAGAATATAGAGTTCGAGACCAAATCTATATAGAATCAGATCAATTTTATAGCTGACTGAATAAAAAACTAAAAATTAACACTTAAAGAACATAGAAATGAATAGAGAGGAGCCAAAGAATGTTGTAAATGGTTTGAATCATTTGATTGGGGGAGCGGGTACTTATAGGATTTTTTTGTTTGTTTTTTTTTTTTTAAATTTTTCTAATTTTTTAGTTACGGGACCCGCCGGGTCCAGGTCGTCGCAGTTGAATGGGTAATCCGGATCTTGACTGTGGGATCTCAATGGTCATGATGACCCAACGGTCAGATTAAAAAAACTTATCGTTGGCGACGTGGTGGATTCCGGATGGGCATGTTTAGAACTAAAATCGATTAAAAAAAAACTTAAATTTGGCAGTCGTTGATTCTCCAACAGTCAAAGGATCCAACGACCCAGATACGCGGGCAGTCAACGGCTACCAAACCCAGCCCAACCCAGAAAAAAAAACTAAGAAAAAAAGGTCGCACACTATATATCTTTGAGCTGCTATTTTATCTGCAAACTTGAGGCCCAAATTTAAATCCAAATGAAGTTAGATTTTAGCTCAAGTTTTTGACCCATCCCGAGTGAGATATCTCTAGATATATTGAAACTGGACGTTTCACTCTACCTGAATGTTTCAGGTGGAGTAGTGGTGTATTAACACCTAAAACGGACTGACCGTTTCTCTACCCATTAGAACAACCTTAAGTGGGCTTTTACTGTCTTAAGTGGCAGGTAATTGGTGTCATTCCTACCTAAGCTGGAAGTCCTATAAATAAGACATGTTTAGAGTTGCAAAGGACACAACATCACATGCATTCTAGTTCTCTAGAAAAGTCTCACGCATCATAACATGTCGTCAGCACATAACGAGGCGTATTTGTCTCGCGAAAAAGGCATCACTCGCTTCGACTATTGTCTTTCCGCTTTCGGTTTGTAATTTTATTTTATGTTTTTAATTCAACTTGTAAGAACTGAATCTTATACTTCAGTTCATAGGATACCACTGTAATTGAATCGAAACACACAATTTTGTAGCAATATTGATGCAGCGCATCCCACATCGGGTTTGAAAGGAAACGAAGCAGACCTTATATGAGGATGTGGATACCTTCACTAGTAAGACGCGTTTTGGTGGGTGTGTATTGAAACCCAGCCAAGAACAAAGTCGTGCGGGTGGCGGAAGTAGCCCAAAGCGGACAATATCTTACTAGGGTCTGCATCAGTTGGTATCAGAGCCAGCTCATGTGCCAGCGGTGACCGCTGGGCCCACAAGGGGGGATGGATGATGCAGCGCATCCCACATCGGGTTTGAAAGGAAACGAAGCAGGCCTTATATGAGGATGTGGATACCTTCACTAGTAAGACGCGTTTTGGTGGGTGTGTATTGAAGCCCAGCCAAGAACAAAGCTGTGCGGGTGGCGGAAGTAGCCCAAAGCGGACAATATCTTACTAGTGTCTCATCAAATATCAACATAAACTTCATTCATTTAAGTTCGACTCACTAATTATATTAGTGATTGTATACCACTTAATTTGAAAAATATTGAAACATTTCCAAGAATCTACTAAGCTTAAGACACAAGTTTTTACTGGAAAATCATAAATTGGTACACGTTACGTGTAGCTAAGTTCTGATTTTCTACCAAAAAAAAGGGATAATAAAAGTAAAACCCCACCTCATTTTGCTACAAATCTAAAACCCTCCTATTTTTGTCCTTTTTAGCTTTCCTGTGCAAACCCAAAGCCGATTCCAAATTAAACCCTAAATTCGTCAGCCTCCGACGCCCGGCGACGTTTCTGCGGCGATAAACATCACCAACGGTGAGACCGACGGTGATATCCTTCGATTGGTAAGCATAGCTCTTCATTTATTCCCGTTCAGATTTCTACTCTCTCTACTGCTTCATTTCTATGTTCAAGCCTGTGTTTCTGGTGACCTGAAATGTTTGGTAGTGCCGATCCTTTTATTTTGGCTTGGTGATTTGATGCATATTTGTTTTGATTTGAGTGCGAATTTGTCATGTCACCGATCCTCGAGCTCTCATTTGTATGGAAGGAATGTTATGGAAGTTGGGTGCTATTTTGATCTGGCATTTTCTGTATATTTTGTCGATTTTCTTTACATTTAGAAGGTGATTTTACTCTTGGGGTTAACCGTGATTTGCGCTCGCGATAAGACAACCTCTTCAGATTGTGATAGTTTTATGAATTTTACATATTAGATAAAACTAATATGTTTGTTGATCCTGTTGCTCTTCGTCACCCAGATCGATAGCTTTGAGTTTGACTAATATACATATCATCCTTGTTTAGCTACCTGACAGGTGACATCATCTCTTACACTAGTTTGCTCATGAAGCTTGCCACGGCTCCTATATGTATGTTCAGTGAATTATGCCTGATTTGCTGTAATTTTGATGAACTTGTCTGAGTTAAACAGTTGAGCATTGTTGGAATGTCTTTTCATGGCATTTCATTACCTATGTAAATGTTTCATGCGCTTGAATTCACCTTCATGTTTGGATCAACACAGGGTAGGTTATTGTTCCCCTTTTTAACTGTCGTGTTCACTACCAAAATTAATCATGTTACTTTTGATTTCTTAACCATTCTAGGAAAGATGAGATCCATTCGGACTTGTGCCCAACCTACTAAAATCGCATTGTATCGTCAGTTTCAACAGAGTCAATTATTAAGGAGTACGAGTGATGTTCAACATCCAGGTATACTTACTGTGCCTGTGTGACCTTTCTCGCAATAGAAGTACTTGAAGTTTTAATAAACTAAGAACTTGTGAAGTAAAAAAAAAAAAAAGGAATCTAAATTTTCTTGATCATAATATAATTGATTTGGTATTCCAAGCGTGTCTTAGTTTTCTATTGCATTGCCTTTTTTGGCAGTCCAATTGTGGGTGTCATAACTTTACTCACTTATATTAACTGTAGTTAATTTAATTTGGTACCATTTTCTTTTGATTTGTTATCAACTTAATTTCATATGAACTTTGTGAACTATTTTTATTTAGGTTTCCATTTCTCAGGTTACTGTTATATATGATGTTTGGTTCTTATTTTTATTGCAGTGTCAATTGAAACATCAAATATTGAGCATGGATCAAATATACAGTGGTTTGTAAGGTTGTATGCTTCTTCTGCTTCATCTGAGAGACTGCAAACAAAAAATCAAAGGAGTAAGATCCCAAAGTATGAACGGAAATCTATGGTGGAAAACTTTGTTAACAGGTAAATATTTTCATCAAGTCAGTTGATATCTTGAATTTCAAGTATTTCCCATAGTTCCATCAACTACTGAGCAATGTAGTCTATGTATTATCTTTCCTTCGTCACTTGATACCATAAAACCTGTTGTTATGGTAGAACTCAAATATAAGAATTAAGAACCTTCTTACCCGTAAATAAATATTTTTTCTACTAAACTAGCTGTGAGTAGATGGTAGGCACACACGTTCTTGTCGTAAGTTACATCTCAAGATTTGAGAAAATCATGTGGGCACTGGCAAACAGGTACAGGAACATGAATGCAGGGAAGTTCCCAACTGCTAAGGAAGTCATAAAAGATGTCGGTGGCGGCTTTTATTTTGTTAGGAGTATCATACAAGAGCTAGAATATAAATCCAAAATGTCACCCGTAGCCATGGATAAAAAGGAAGCTTCATATAAAATTGCCACTGAGAAGGATAAAATATTTACCAACACTCAAGAGATTTCTGTATCCAAGGATCTGGGAGAAGGAGAGATCATCAGCCCACTCTCAATGGTGGACACCGTGGATTCTAGTTTCGAGAGCTATAAATCAGATCAGAAGCCACAACCCTCAATTTCACTTGAGGTGAGTAATAATAATAATAATAATAATAATAATAATAATAATAATAATAATAATAATAACAATAATAATTGTTCCAACTAATACAATGCTTGCAATATTGCCTGATTGTAGTATAACTTAATATCCCCTTTTCAAATTTGATCCTAAATTAATATTATTATTTTTCTGTATAAGTACTCACTGTTCACTCATATTACATAAGCCCTTATGGTATGGATCTATAAATGTTTTATTTTTTTTGTAATTATTTTTATTTTTTATTTGGAAGGATGGTGAATCAAAAGATGTTGGAATTCAATCTCCCAACCCAATTGATCAACCAACAACCAAACTGCACCTTGACCCTGAAAATGGCAAGACTGTACATGAAGATGAACAGAAAGTTGATTGGTCGCAGTCCAAAACTGAGCTTCAGGAGTTGCAAGAAGTATCTGAAAGGTAATTTAAATTATTCTTTTTAATTTTTATGCTTCTCCTTCACATAGTTGTATCGTTATAGTTGTCCATAATTTTATTCTTTCTCTTTCTCTCATTGTAGGGAGGCACACAAAGCTCCAAACGAGGTTGGAGAACGTAAAGAACAAACCTCTTTGTGGCAAAATCTGAAGTCTTTTGCAAATGGAATTTTCGGGATATGGAAGAGATCATAATTTCGTCGGTAATGTATGAGTTTCTGGCATCTCAGCCAGAAGTAGATGTCTTTTTTTGGTTGTGGTGATATGAAGAAAGTGAATTTTATCGTTTAGCTAAAACCTGATGGCATGCCATATACATTGGAGGTTTCCTTATGGCTGAAGATTTCATTGGTTCTTTTACCTTTTTAGGAAAAGGGATGTGATTGTAGATCAACTCAGTTGTGTTATTGTTTAGAAGACGAATTTCTTAGTATTCGGTTGGAATAATGAATGTTGGATGTGAAATCGTACGTCAAATCAGTAAGTTTTCTACTATGCTAACATCTTTTGTAGGAGATAATTTGATCTGTCCCAGAATTTTCCTTGTATATATTATCAGATTTTTATTTGTAGCACAAAACAGTTCAATAATTTGTCAAGTGCTGCAGTTTTATGTCCAAGCTCGTATGGCAAGTAAATGCTATTCTCGCATTTCCCACGGGGTGATAATTTTTTTTTTTTTTTTCTATCGTTTCCCACAGAGTACATAGACCGTGTGCACGGTGAAATGTCATATTCCATAAGATCTCTCCGTTTAGCCTAAAAAACAATAAATTGGATCCACTTTTTTTTCACCTATTTTAATTTTAATCAGTGTTAACTTTCTTTTTGGTTGAACCGCTTAAACTTGATTCCGGTTAGTGATGAACTATCTCCAACCGAGATGCAAATCTCATTTAAACTTGAATCCTCATTTATTTTCTTTTTCAGTTTGACTTTGTTCACCCCAATAATTCTTTCATATAGCGAATCACCAAAAATTGATTTGATTCATCTAAGTTCAGAGAAAATGAAAAAATTCTCGGGGATGCTTGTCGAGCATACTCGGGAGTTAAATTTTTTGACTCCGAAGAGGGATAATGATCAGATTGTTTTTTCCTGTTCCTCATAACGCCATCTTTAGATTTTTAAAGTTTTTAATAATATCTCAAAAGTGATTGTTTTTCCATTCGAATTTGAATTTGGAATCTTGTGTGAACAATATTTTTGCTCTGAGCATCTATAATTTGTTACAAACAATTAACCATAATTAATATAAATAATATATTATATAAATAAAAAAATGTAATAAGAATTTAATACTCATTGATCTTCATTTGAAGCATCACTCTATGAATATCTTCTACTGCTTTCATACGTGCTTGACTTGGCTGCTTTCCCTATTGTTTGAAGTTGTGCTTGACTAGATCTCTTGGTACAAACCTCTGAAAGCAAAAAATTTATTTGTTGAAAACTTCTTCTACGCGGGCTTAAAATCGACAGATAATTGGTATACAGCAAAAATTGGGTCATGAGAAATTTTCATATAAACCAGACACAAAAAATATCTTCATCGTGGTGATAAGAAGCTGAACATAGACATTCTTACAAGATGTTAGATATAATAAAAGCTTATTTTATAGAATGAAAATATTGGGATGTAGTCACTACAATACAACATCTTCTTTTAAAGTGAATAATTCGCATCTCCTTATGTTTTGATCCGAAAATAATCACTCTTTGCAATGGTCCTCGCCTCTCTCCATGTTTTTTTACCCAAAATAACAACTCTCTGCAAAAGTTCTCACACCTTTCCATATTTTTTACCCATAAATGACCACTCACTGCAAAAATTCTCACGTCTCTCGATGTTTTGACCCAAACTAGTCACTCTCTGCAAAGTTCTCACACCTTTCTACGTTTTTGACCCGAAAATGAACACTCACTACAAAGACCCACACGTATCTCGATGTTTTGACCTGGAATGACCACTTTATGCAAAGTTTCTCACAGTTCTTCATGTTCTAACCAAAAAATGTCCACTCAGAGCAAAGACCCTCACATCTCTCAATGTTTTTGACCCGAAATGACCACTATATGCAAAGTTTCTCACACTTGTCCATGTTATGCCTAAGAAATGATCACTCACTGCAAAGTTTCTCACACTTGTCCTGAAATGACTACTCTCTTTAAAGGTTCTCATACCTCTCCATATTTCTGAACCCAAAATGACCACTCAGTACAAAGACCTTCCGTCTCTCGATAATTTGACCCAAAATGACCACTCTCTGCAAAAGTTCTCATACTTCTCCATGCTCTGCAAAAGACCTTAGGTCTTTTCTAAGGATTTTTAGGTCCCTTTTGTCGATTCTTGTGCTTTTATCTTTATTTTGGTGTGTTTAGTATTTTCTGTGTTTTCTTTCCTATTTTTCTTGTTTTCCGTGTTTTTTCCGGTGGTGCGATTTCAAGTTTTAGGTTGATCGGATGGATAAGCTTTCAGATGAGAAGGGCAGTGTGTTGTTCGAGCATTGTTTTGTGGGATTCAAACATGCAAAGGTCGAGTTTCCAGCCCGGGCAGTACCCGAGCGACGTAGCCGAGCACGCAAACTGTTGAAAAGCCACATTTTTGGAGCTGCCAGGGGCCTTAGCGCCGCTAAGGCCAATGGGATAGCGGCGCTGTTAAAAGCTCAGCGGACATAAGCCAGCAGCTAAGAAAGCTTAGCGTCGCTAACCCATTAGCGGCGCTAAGGTCTGTTTTATACCTAGCCAATTTTCATGGATTTTGAACGGGGGAATGTTATTAGTGGGGGTAGGGCAGATTTTACAGTTTTTTTTTTTTTTTAACATCGTTTTTCATTCCTTTTCATTACTAGAACATCTTTTCTCTTGGTTTATGCTTGTATTTGATTTTGGAGTGTAAGAACTCATTCTCTAGCTTGTGGATTTGGATTGTTCATCGTTTTTCTCGATATTGGATTTGATAATAATCGTAAGCACTCATTTTTATTTTGTGAATGAATGCGATGGCTTATTTTATTGTGAATGTTATTGTTGAGATTGCGATGAGTAGCTAAATTCCATAAGTTAGGGATAAGGGACGGTTGTTTCGGTTCGTTTTCAAGTACGTGTTTGATAATTGTTCAATCCTTGCGAGTTGTGCGGATTCTAGGGTTAGTTGATTGATCATCAGTCTAACCTAATCAATCGACGTTTAGAACCGAGAGGGGAGACGTCGGTCGATTTAGGCTCGTTTGGAATAGATTTGTTCGTTATTGTATTGTCTATGTGTTGTCGGGTTTGATGAGTTGCTCGTTTATGTTCACTTTCTTGTTACGAAGAGTTATTGAAGGTGAACCTCCATTCGAGTAGGCGATTCAAACCCTTTAACCGAGCACTTGATTGCCCGGTAATTGAGTCAAGAACCGAAGACGATTGTCCCCGACTCCCTAACTCATTTATAATCAAGTTAATTCGTTTGCTTTTGTATTTTCGTATTGCATTTTAGAATTCATAATTGATAATTGAAACCCAAACAATTGAGTTAGAATGTTTAGAAACTTCTTTTCTCTTTTCTTGTGATCGAATATTCGTACAAATAATCCGACCAGCCTTCCTTGAGAGACGACCCGGTGTTTGAATCCTTTGATTTAACTCCGGTAAAATACTTACAACAGTGACCCGAAAATGAACACTCACTACAAACACCCACACGTGTCTCGATGTTTTGACCTGGAATGACCACTCTATGCAAAGTTTCTCACAGTTCTTCATGTTCAGACCAAAAAATGTCCACTCACAGCAAAGACCCTCACATCTCTCAATGTTTTGACCCGAAATGACCACTATCTGCAAAGTTTCTCACACTTGTCCATGTTATGCCTAAGAAATGATCACTCACTGCAAAGGCTCACGTCTCTCAATGTTTTTACCTAAAATGACTACTCTCTTTAAAGGTTCTCATACCTCTCCATATTTCTAAACCCAAAATGACCACTCAGTACAAAGACCTAACGTCTCTCGATATTTTGAGCCAAAATGACCACTCTCCGCAAAAGTTCTCATACTTCTCCATGCTTTGACACTAAAATGACCACTCACTTAATGACCCTCTCGTCTCTATATACTATCACTCAAAATGACTAATTTCTACAAAGGATTCCCACGTTTCTCCATGTTCTGACAAAAAACGATCATTCTCTACAAAGACACTCGCGCTGCTCAATGTTTTGACTCAAAATGACTGACTGTGCAAAGGTTTTTACACTTCTCCATGTTTCGACCTGAAAATGACCAGTCACTGCAAAGACCCTCACGTCTCTCAATGTTTTGACTGAAATGACTATTCTCTGCAAAGTTTCTCACACTTCTCCATGATCTGAATCATAAGTGATCAATCATCACAAAGATCCTCATGTCTCTTAATGCTTTTACCTGAAATGACCCCATTATGCAAAGGTTCCCATAATTGTTTTGAACCGAAAATGACCACTCAGTATAAAAATGAACACATCTCTCAATTCTTTGACCCGAAAATGACGATGGGCTGGCATTTTGAGGACCCGCCAAGATGGTGGGCCAGGCAACGCCGATTTTTAGCCGGCTTGCCCGTCCCACAGGTCCCTTTTGACATATCTACCTACTATTGGTATAACAAATAAGGTTTGGATGAAATAAATAATAAAATCTATTTTCCAAACTTGATTTGTTATTCGTAATTTATGACAAGCTTGTATTAAGTGATTTTTATATAGAATTAATTTATAGTAATTTGTTAGTATAGTGTATAGAACTAAAACTTCTTCCGAATTTGCAATAGTCTAATCATCATCTCTATTTTGTTATTTATATTTTTAATAATAATCTCTATGGAACACAACATTACTTGGTGCTTGTAATAGCTACGACATACGCTTGCAAATTATGTTATTCTAAATGGAGTATGTCAAGAGATTGCTTTCAACTTTTATGTGGAGAGAGGATGAAGTTGAAGTATTTCATAAAGAATCACTGCCGAAGAATTAATTTTAAATCGAACTTCTTTAAAAAAAAAAAAATTAACTACACGTGCATCACATCCCACTTCATTGACAATGAATAGAATTTGCATAAGAAAACCCCAAACTTTGTTCAGATAACCAACCACGCCGCTGTATATATTAGGAAAATGTTAATATTTTATTATCACCATAAACCTTGACAATGGTGATTTTTTTGTTTAGGTGACATTCACTATCTCATATATTTGTTATAAAAACATAAAATGTTAATATTTTATTATTAACTAGTAGGTACCCGTGCGATGCACGGAACAAAGATATTAAATGAGTTATTTCACAGCATTTTCTGTTTAAGTGTGAAAAGTAATATAAAGTTGTTTTTTCTGTGTGCTTAACCTATTTTATATTATTGTTTTGTTGTTACTGACTCCCAATATCAAATCTTATATTTTACGTTTTAGCTAAAATCTTTTATTGTTTTGCTGTTACTGACTCCCTACCTTGTTTCCTAGAATGTTGTCTCACATCTTCTCTAAAGGTAGGTGTATCACTAAAGTTCATGCCTACCTCAAATTTAGGGTCTTCGCCATCTAACTTGGGGTTAAAAACT